ACAAGAGTCCAGTCACCAGATAAAAAAAACTACACAACGCAAACTAAAGTTAAACACATTTTTATTCTGACTTACAGCAATGGTATGTGTGTGTGTGTGGGTATGATGGGCCAGCCGGCTGCTGCTGCGGATAGCGTGGTGGGACCGAGGGGGGCGACACATCTAAATCTCAAGTTTAGATGCTCAACAAATCTCACACTAGCGAATCAATCTTCGAACAATCTTCTTTCATTTGTCGCATCTACTTGCATCGCTCATCAATTTTTTGCAGGAAATCTTCAGAAACGTCATCAATCTTCTTTCTATCTACTCAGCGTGCGCGCAACTAGCCACAGCAAAACACAATCTTTTTTGCATCGTAGATAGAGTCGTCCCCCTCGGGTGGGACGTCATAGGTTCGCGATCGGTTGTTGGTCATGCGGACCGAAAAGCATCTGATCGGCTGCGTTCGTTGATCTGCTGGCTGGATACGACGGCGTCGGTACCCATGGCCTAACCTCTGCGGACGGAGGCCACGTGGGCTGTGGGTCTATTCGTGAACCTGCGATCACAATGGACCTTTGGCTGGTCGAGGTTTGGGTTTGGCTACGCACCTCGCACGGGACTTTTATTCCATGTCAGCTGCCTTAGCTAACCGGTAACGGAACGACTTCAACCGGAATACAATGGGTCCTGGTTCGACTTTCTCCAATTTAACAATATAAATTGAGATTAAAGTCACTTTTCCACTTCACTGTGCACAACTGGTCTAGTTTCGAGACGTTTCTCACTTGAGGTGTTACTTGGAAAAGAACATTCCATCACTAATAGGACCAAATTTAGCCTCTCCCTTTCAGATATACAATTTTTCATCGTAGTCCTTTGCCTCTTCTGTGGTAATGCATTTAGCTCTGCATTAGCTTTTCCCAAGGGTATCGGTTTTCGTGTAGTGTAGTGTAACAAATTGTGTTCTTAGGTTATCAATTTGAATTTGTTTCTTGAGTGTGCATGCAATTAATTTAATCCAAGCTAGGCTTTTATTTATGAATTATTTAATATAGCTGCATTTAATATTCAATATGTAAATAAATAAACAATAAACACTTAGCAACAATAAAAGTTTTACAATTGAACTACTTTTTGACTGACAAACAAGGAATATTATGTCCCAACGGTAACACAGCTGATTTCGTGGTTGAAAATAATAAACAAATCGATTTTACACGGCTCCACCAGCTAGGTTGTATTGGTGAGATCGTGCGTCGAGAAGTAGTCAATTGGTCCCAAGCAAATCGATTAACGTACTCCATTCTTGTCAAAATTCTATTACTACACAATGTTTGTTTAGTTTCGCTATGAAAGTTTGACTGATAAAACGAGGGGTTAGTGGATTTTCCTGTGTTTTGAGGGGTGAATCGATTAGCTTGGGACCGAAGATAGTACCAGAGCTGAGCCAAAAAGCGAGGGGGCGACACATCTAAATCTCAAGTCTAGATGCTCAAAAAATCACCCACTAGCGAATCAATCTTCGAAAAATCTTCTTTCATTTCTCGCATCTACTTGCATCGCGCATTATCTTTTTGCAGGAATTCTTCAGAATCGTCGTCAATCTTCTTTCTATCTACTCAGTGTGCACACAGCTAGCCATAGCAAAACACAATCTTTCCTGCATCGTAGATAGAGTCGTCTCCATTGCCAAAAAGTTGAGCACTTTTCTTCGGGACCTACTAGTCTTAGAGTTACCTCTATGGTACTATTGTTTGTAGTAGAGTAAAAACGTTTTTTTTTCATTCGAGAAAATCTTCGGAGACTTGGAAATTCCGGATGAAGTTGTCGCTGCTCAAAGAAAATTTGTGGACAACGGTGATTGACGCGAAGCCGGAGGTGGTTACGTCAACGTGGACAATGAATGACGAAAGGGCTCGAGCAACGATTGGTTTGACGATAGCCAGCTATGCCATATCATGGGAGCTTTTAATGCCAAAGATATGTGGGACAAGCTCAGAGGTTACCACGAGCGAGGATCTCTAGCGAACAAAATCTATGTTTTGAGGAAATTGTGTTGGATACGTCTGGATGAAGACGGGAATCTATAGGAGCATCCAGTCCAAGCTTCAGAGTTAGTGCACCGGTTAGCTAGCATGGGAGAACCGTTGAAGAAGCATATGGTTGTGGTGATTTTAATGTCGAGGTTGCCAGAGTCATATAACCCATTCGTGACTGCTCTCCAAAGCCGTCTGGAAGAGGAGTACGTGAAAGGGAAACTTATGGAGTGGCGAAGAAGGTGCGAGGGCCGAGTGCAGTGTTATCACTGTAAACAAGAAGAGCACTTGCGGCGAAATTGTCCTGTGTTGATGGCGAAGAGGCGACATAACCAACAATCAATACGAAACTAACGATTTTAAATTGGCTCACTACTTGACTAGCCTATTGGTTCCAAACAAATCGATTAACGTATCCCATTCCAGTCAAAATTCTAGTACTACACAATGTTTGTTTTGATTCGCTATGAAAGGTTGACAGATAAAATGAGGGGTTAGTGGAATTTCCTATGTTTCGAGGGGTGAATCGATTAGGTTGGGACCGAACATAGTACCAGAGCTGAGCCAAAAAGTAGAGCTCGTTTCTTCGGGACTTACTAGCATAGAGGTAACTCTAAGATCAGAAGGTCCCGAAATAACGTGCTCAACTTTTTGGCTCAGCTCTGGTACTCTCTTCGGTCCCAAGCTAGTCGAATCACCCCTCGAAACATAGGAAAAACCAATAACCCCTCATTTTATCTGTCAAACTTTCATAGCGAATCAAAACAAACATTGCGTAGTACTAGAATTTCGACTAGAATGGGATACGTTAATCGTTTGTTTGGGACAAGTAGTGAACCAATTTAAAATCGTTAGTTTCGTATTGATTGTTGCTACTAGTCTTAGAGTTACCGCTATGACATAACGAAGCGAAGTCAGTAGTGGTGCACCCAGATTCTGGTAGCAGTGGAAGCAGTCAAGGAGTGTGCTTCGCGACGACGACCGCAAGTGATGTGTCGATTGACGGTCGTTGGATCATCGACACTGGCTGTACGATGCACATGGCTGGTTCGACTGCATGCTTCGACAGCATGACGTTTTGCGAAGAGAAGGTGTCTTTGGTAGACGGGAGAAATGTGACGGCCACAGGAACCGGACATGGAAGGATCGTTGTAGTCGGATTGGAAGGCGAGTCCGTTGACATGCAACTGAAGGGATTGCTGTATGTGCCTGGATTGTCTGGAAGTTGTACCATAGAGATAACTCTAAAGGCCCACACACATTAGATCCGGATCGGTCGCGTTGTGGTAAAGTTTCTGCGGGACCTTCTGATCTTAAGGCCCACGCACATTAGATCCGTTTGCGTTGCGTTGACGTAAATTTGACAGTTAGACAATAGATTTAGCATCTATTGTCTAACTGTCAAATTTACGTCAACGCAACGCAAACGGATCTAATGTGCGTGGGCCTTAAGATCAGAAGGTCCCGCAGAAACGTGCTCAACTTTTTGGCTCAGCTCTGGTACTATCTTCGGTCCTAAACTAATCGATGCACCCCTCAAAACATAGGAAAATCCACGAACCCCTCATTTTATCGGTCAAATTTTCATAGCGAATAAAAATAATCGTAGTGTAGTACTAGAATTTTGACTAGAATGGCGTACGCTTATAGATGTACTCGGGACCAATAGGCTAGTCAAGTAGTGAGCCACTGGTTGAGTGTACTGTCGGTGAGCCGAATCACGAGTAATGGATACGAAGTGCTGTTTGGTTAGAAGACTGCAGTATCCACTGAAAGGAGACAAGGTTGTTGCTGTGGGTGATAGAAGTGGAGGGCTGTGCCCCGGGCTGTACTACCTGACACAGCCGGTACTGACGTGAAGCGGAAACGGTGCTTCGAGACTCGAGGAGTAAAGGTATGATAACTCATGTGTTTTAAAAAGATGAAGAAGTTGGCTTCACTAAGGAGGAGTGTTGATTGTAAATGGTGAAGGCCCCTAGATTCGCACCTCTATGACATGAGTGTATATTAGACTGCCAATGAATGTATGGGAAAAAATTGACCATCAAATTTCGCTAACAAACCATATACAAAATGTTTATTGCCTCGAAAAATGACCCTATGCTAAATTTAAGCTCAATCGGACATGATTTAGGAGTGGCGCAAACGCGTCAAAGTTTGACTTTTTTCACTCTCGAAAACAAACCCCCCCCCCCTTCTTATGAAGAATAATTGGACCACCCTAGTGAATTATTTCGTATTAGATCCTAAATGGTGGTTTAATTCGATATATAAGCAGGTTGGAGACAATTGTGAACAGTTTTAGAAGCCGACTCATCAATCTTCTATATTCCATATAGAACTCATGAAAAAATTCTAAGTCCCAGAAAGCCGATATTTGAAAAAAAAATTTTTTTTCGAGATAACACCAAATCTTGACGTTTCATGCATTTTTAAGACATTTGGCATCAAAAGAATTTTCGAGAGTGAAAAAAGTCAAACTTTGACGCGTTTGCGCCACCCCTAAATCATGTCCGATTGAGCTCAAATTTTGCATAGGGTCATTTTTCGAGGCAATAAACATTTTGTATATGGTTTGTTAGTGACATTAAAAATTACCATTTTCGCTGGCAGTCTAGTGTATATAGTAGCCTCAAGAACTAGAGTGACAGCTGTCTGTATGGGTGTGCGTGAGAGTGAGATCGACGAAGCATAAAATTGCTGTTGTGTGACTGTATGTTTGTTTATCCAGTCCACTGTAATCCATTGTAATTTGTAAATAAAGACGCACGTAGAACGTAGTCCGCGCCTGTTTTATGTTTTTCTTCGTTATCATGCGACTCCCGGGATAGGTGTTCATTGTCCGGTAGCTCGGTTTGGATAATCTGTGAACACCCGCGCTGGGATTCTCTGATAGTCTAGCGACATCTGTTGCGAAAATCAACCATGCTGGTGAATAATCTAGTGGATATTTCGGCGGCAAGAGAAACACTTTTCGACTGAATTTGTACTGTTTTATTGCATCTTTACAACTATGCATACATCTATAATTACTGTTTCTTTGTTCAGTGTTTATGATGAATTTTCAGTGATGAAAAAAATGTAGCGATTTTTAACAGTCATGCATTGTTTACATCTCACTTTTCTTAATCATGCTTACCCAATTCGAACTATTTCGAACAACAGGAGTAGTTTTGCGAAAACTATTTAACATGTATTGATTAAAATTCCCTACCACACACATACTCACATACATAATAATCGAATTGGCTCTACATTTTGTCTCGACGGTTTAAACTATTAGAACGGTTCGTTTATTCCACCTACCTATAAGTAGGTAGGATATACTGTAATGAGTTAGCTGAGTATTGCTCTAATTTTTGACATTCAAATTAAATATTTGATTCGATACACTTTGGTCTTGATTAGCAGTACATCTTACAAACTAGTGTCATCTTAAAATGATAAATTGCAAGTTTCTATGTACAATTAATTGCAAAATATGGACACATTTTCGTATGGCCGTTGAATCTTCACGTCATGGATGCGGGACCTCCTGACTAGTTTATACACTTCCCCCTCAAAGTGCTTTCTGCGTTTTCGCTATTTGGTTAGTATTCTTTGTGATTCGAAGGGGAATGGATCATGAATTTAATAAATACAGTCTTATGCTTTTTTTATTTTTATCTTAACAGTAAAACAAACATCCATCATCATTCATCCATTACGTTCATTCTAACCGCACTCAGCAACTCGTTCCAGGTCTAAAGATAAATTCGATCAATTTTCACACATTTTTAACACCTAAACCGCTCACAGAGCTCGGACGTGTGAATATTTGTTTTTGTTCGTGCACAATTTCTTCGTTTATTTTTTTGTTAACTCTCATTAATAGGTACTTTCGGTGTTATGACTATGATGGTTGAACGGATACATACGGACCCGCTCGCAGCCGTCGTTGTCGTTATCGTCCGACTCGTCATCGCTGGATGGTGGCGTTTCCAGCAGTGGCAGTCCGAGATCCAGATACTCTTCGTTGGAGGTTATGCTCACTAACCGGTCCAGGTGTTGCACGATCTCGCTGAACGTGGGCCGCTCCTCCGGCCGGTAGTGCCAGCATTCGCGCATGAATAGATAGCTGGAATGGCGAATGGATATATGAGTTTATTTTAAGCAAGGTGGGGTGGATGCCTAAGTTCAGTCACCCCAGTATTTGGGCCAGCTAGTCACGTTTGGGTCAGAGGTTCTGCGTGTTAATCAAATGGAAGAGGCCCATAATTGTAGGTGACCCATAATACTGAGGTTTCTGTATTGGTTATACAATATATTATGGATTAACAACCTAGAAAAAGTATCAACGCATTTCCCTAAAATGGTGAACAAAATGACATAATATTGGCGTGTGGCGAATGAGCACCGGATTCGATTTCAAATATAATTAAAATTTAATTTGTCATGACATCAAGCAAAGATAATCCCCCACTGACCCGACCTCCACCGTCACCATCACCAGCAACGAAAGATCCTCTTAATCAGCTTACCGACGTTCTCGCGAAAAATTGGAACCCACTTGGCTACGGGCCAGGACTTTCCAATTTTCGTTGGAACCTCGGAAGACTGGCGGGTGTTCATTCGAATTTTCGAGGACATTCTGCAGGAGTGCCTCGCATCTTAAAAATCCAGGAAATTTGTTTTGGTCGACCGGAAACACGGTTGTCAATAGCGTTAACGTCTTCAAGCTTGTAAGAAAATTCTCACAGCAAACCACATTATTTAAATTGATTTCTTCGCCAGTTAGTCGTATGTCACTTCGTTTGTGCCCGTACATTAATGAAAAAGGGTACTTGATGTTTTTCCTCAAATCCACAGCCTGTATACTGACCAAGGTGGATTCGTTCGTTCAGGCCGCTAGCGAGTGTGGTTATGTTTTAATTAAAAGGCTGTCCTGATTTTAAATGTTTTGTTTTTTTTATATTTATTATGACACACAGATGAAGAGATGAACTAGCCCATAGGCGTAGCCAAAGGGGCGCAACTGCCCCCCCCCCCAACACAGCAACACAAAGGCTTTCGGTGAAATAGCATTCAACCAACTTTTCTATAGATAATTTATTTTTTTCGCCCTTCCCTAGCTCGAAACCTGGCTACACCCTTGAACTAATTAATTAATTAATTTATCTTTATTAGGGAGGCTTTCAGCCTTGGGCTGGTTCGCCTCCAATTGACCCTTGAACTAGCCTACGGCTAAAAATCTCTACAATAAAGAATTGAAAAAAAAAGACACGCAGATGTCAGATGAATCATGAGTATAATGAACAATAAACTTCCCATAACTACTTCGATGATAAGTTTTAAAATTGCCATCTATGAAATTTCAGCTAATAATTAAAATTCGGAAACATAGCTATGCAAACTAAGGCAGCCAATTCACAGAAATCTTAGTATGCGTCGATATCTCACAAAGAAGAAAAGTAAACAATTGTAGCTGTCAAATATTTCAAAAATGTATAGACACAACCAAATTTTTGTTTATCCTTAATCGACATGATCGGCTGGATTATCAGTAGATCAGGCTGTGCCGGAACCACATGTAAACCTACGATCTATAAAAAAAACTGTGAAGAGGCCAACATGGAATGAAGTACACGGTAGCAAAAAAGTACCCAACGGCCAGTTCACTTTTACCTACTTTTTACTAGTTTGTCTCCTTTTCTCCTTCTAATGTTGTCAAAAACGGAGTGGCAAAACCACCCAACAGGGGTTGTAAAGTGTGGGAACCCAACGTTGAGTATAATCATATTTACCTACTGTTGGGTACAACTAACTTAATTTTTGGTTAAAAAGCTAGTGGAAAATTCCATACGAACTGCACACAAGTAAATGAAAATTACTTTGACCCGTTTTACCTACTTTTGGGTTCCTGCACTATAGTGCCGAGATGAGTGAAAAGAACTTAATTTTGGGTACTTTTTTCTAACCGTGTAGTGTAGAGGTTAGTTTTGTCGAAGGATCCTTTACCTTTGCGCTGGTAAGCAGTTTTCAGTTACGTTTCAATTAAAATAGCTTCAGTTTTCTTCAATTTATTTTGCGAATTTCCATCTAACTTGTTATTGTAATGTTTTATGCGTTGTCATGCGAACAAGGTCACCAAGGAAAGATTTTGGTTCACTTCTCGGCATTCCCAAAGCAGCTGTCAGTTGCGGTTGTCAAATTCGGTTATCAAATATGACGCCAATTGCTAATTTTTTCTCTAAATTAGAAATAACTGGTAGTTTAAAAGTGAATGCTAAATATTTAAATAGAATTGCCATTACCATTGCGTCTAGCTTATACTTAAAATAAACAAATTTGAAAGACTACTTACATATCTATGGAACACAGGGGAGGCTGTTCCAGTCGTTTACCCTTCTTGAGGTGCTCCAGAAGATTGTCCCAGGTGGGAATCGAGGAGTAAGGGTTACCTCCAAGCGTCATGATTTCCCAGAGTAGCACTCCAAAAGACCACCTGCATAAAGACAACATCCCATTCAACATCTTCGCTTCAATTACAATATCAAGATCACTTACACATCACTCTGAGAGTCGTAGAATTTTTCTTCCAGCGACTCTGGCGCCATCCATCGGATCGGCAGTTTGCCAGTTGTCGTCTTTCGATAGTACTCTTGGCTGTGAATATCTCGCGCCAATCCAAAATCGGCAATCTTCATCACGTACCCATCACTAACCAGCACGTTACGCGCTGCCAAGTCCCGGTGTATGCACTGTAGGAATGAAAACAAATTAATCGTGATATTTTCAAATTCAATTCGAAATAACCTACCCTCCTCGACGCCAGGTGCTCCATTCCGCGTGCAATCTGAAACGCGAACGAAATTAGTTCCTTCTGCGTGAGGATCTTCTTCTCCTTCTCCCCGCTGACCATGTCGTCATACATGGTGGTACCGAAGCGATGACTTCGCAGGAAGTCCTTCAGATTGCCGTGCGGAGCATACTCAACAATTACGTACAATGGGCCATCCTTGCAGCAACATCCCAGCAAGTTGATGATGTTGACGTGTTTGCCGATCATCTTCATGACTTCCATTTCACAGACGAGATCCTTGACGTCGGCGTCTGTGTGACCCTCTAAGGATGGGACAAAAGAGCAAAATATGAGTTTCCAGCTTAAACATATCTCCATGAACTACAACAGTACCTTTCAACATTTTCACCGCGACGACGGTGGAGGCTTGTCCTTTCACCAATCCCTGCGCTTCAGCCATAACAACCTTACCGAAAGCTCCTTCACCGAGGCTTTTACCGAGGATCAGTTTGTTTCGTGGAAACTCCCAATTCAAATCGATCGGGAACTCATACTCGGAAATCATGGTCGGATCACAGTTGCCGCTCTGAACCAGTGTGGATCGTTGCTTCTCGATCCGGACTATTGGCATTTGCTGTGGAAGATGTGGCGATTGAAATTATGCGAACATTTTCACAATTAATTAAATTTACCATGGACTCTGTTACACCGGGGATGCTATTCTCAATAGCCGGTTGCTTCAGCACAATAACCTTCTTGGTCCACTGGTTCACGTGCTCCATGGCGCGATGCTTCATCTTCTCCCGCTTCAGCTTTTTACACACGATAACCACAATGATCGCCAGGATCAAAAAACATCCCGACAAAACCGTAGTCATGATCGTTATCAGCGTCGAATGTGGCCGCACGGGATGGGAAATTGGACGATCATCCAGGAATTCGTCTACCACGCGCAGGTATGCACTTTCGTACGATGCTCCAAGGGTGTTGGATGCGACGCACGAGTACCATCCCTCATCGGCGTGGGTCACATTCTCAAGTGTCAGAACCTCGGGGTTATCCAAGTCACGCTGTTTTTGTAAAATAAACTGTTAGTATCCTATCGGATCCATCAATGTCGGTAATCAAAACATGCGGGTTAGTAAGTAGATACCTAAGTCTAGCGGTTAAACCATTCTCATGCGGTGAATATCACACTGGAAATATCCATCACCTTCTTATTCTTAATAATCGGACAGCCCTGGCAAAATCCCTTGTATTTGAGCCACTGGATGAACTTAGAAAGGTCGCTCAGCACTTTGCATTCCATGGAAACATTAGTGCCGACAACGGCTGTGATGTTCGCTAGAGGCTTTGTAATAATCGGTTTGTGATTCACACGATCTGCAAAAGAAGAAGACAACCTTGTTCAAGCTAAGACTAGAAACCGACACCTCTAGGAGAGAACCAAACAGAAACATCTGCCAACCAGCAATATATGAACCCAACAACTAAGCAATCATAAAATTCTTAAGATAACCACCACCAATAATTGCAAACGCGGTCGGTACCTCTAGCTTGGTAATGTTATCCGGAATATTTGGATTGGCAGTATCGACAATATAGAACTTGATCCACTCAATGTGTGGCTCAAGGTCCGATATCGTCCGACACTCTAGGGTTGCAGTGGTGTTAACCAGTACGGTAGTGTTGAGCAGGAATCCTTCCTTTATGTATGGTCGCGCCGGAAACCGATCTACAGGCAGCATCAGAATGTGTTTATAAAGTTTCATGTTTTCGAATTTCATCAGATAGGATAGTAGATATCTCGATCAAATTCACACTTACCTTTCACTTCCAGCTTGGTGGTAAAGCTGATGCATCCGTGGATATTACACACGTTGCACGTGTACGCTCCGGAGTCCTTTGGGACCAGATCTTCCAGCACAATGGACCACTTGGCGTACTTAACCGAACCCATACTACGAGTGATCTTTACGTTGTCCTTCGTCCAGGTGATGTTCGGCATCGGGTTGCCATCTGCAGGACAACGGAGCCGCACCATGTTGCCAGAAGGTTTCGGCATAAGACCCACCATGTGATCCCGCTTTGTGAAGAACGGCAATCCTGGTGGGAGTTCCCCATTGACACCAGGTGGTGCCGAGTGGTTCTCGATAGATTCCCTATTGATACCTCCCAGTTGTGATCCCGTTGCAATTATATCTTCGTCAGCTTCTGTATCTTCATCTGTTTCCTCGTAATCAGTGTAATGGTGTTCATCACCGACATAGTCCGGATTGTCCGGTTCTCCATTATTAGACACTTGTGAATGGATTTCCATATCGTTATATCGAATGAAAGGCTCCTCCGGATCGTCTATCACTTCCACATTTGTTGTAGCATTCACACATTTCTGCAAATTGCACACCCTACATACATAAGCTCCCGCATCTTCCGGTTCCAAAGACTGGAGCAGCAGGCTGGACTTATTCCCCGTTTTTATGTTCACTAATTGGTCATCTTTGATCCAACTGATTCGAAATTTTGGTTCACCTGCCACTTCACACTTCAGTTTGTAACTATCGCCAACCTTCCGAGTTACGGTGGCCGGTTCATCCTTATTCCCAACGACAAACTTGGGCAGTTCTTCGGTTAGATCATTATCCACCGCTTCCAATGGATCTGGACTCGGAGAGGGTGAAGACATCACTGTTGACGTTGGAATCAAGAAGTACTTCTTCTCTAAGTTGGCAACACGTGTGATGCTGGAGATAGCGGGTCTCTGGCCACTGCCTGGTGAATCGTTCTGGTAGAGATCGGAGGCCTCGTGTTGACTGAAAACCGACAGGGTTAGGTTCGACCACTCGCGGAACTCCGATCCGCACGAATAGTAACCGGCATCGGTTTTCTTGATGGCGTTGAATTTGAGTCTGCAAAGGAGTAGAGGAGATTGATATTCTTTGTTATTAGGTCAACTTAACAATAGAAATAATTTTATGCATTAAAGGAAATTGACAAACGAATGGTATTAAAATCAGAAGATCTGAGGTCTCTATCATTCACTATTCACTTATCATAATGAGTGTTTTGTTAATTTTAGAACATTTATGTAATATCGGGTTTGACAATATCGATGTGGAGTAAAATTGATCAACCCCTTAAATTCATCTCGAGTAACTTTCTAGTCACAGTTCTTATCAAATTTGGATTCCCTGGATCCGAATCAGATGCTCAAATCTATATGCGAAGTGAATTTTACGGCAGAAATTACAAAAAGGATTTCTTAAATTGCAGAGTTGCGCTTAAATGTAGGCAATGTCTTTTAAAATCACTGTAATTTCACAAACAACACTTATAAATTAAACTATTCCCACTTTGCCTGAAATTTAATCAATTTGACATTAAACTCAGTTTAATCATTTCGAAAAATTAAAAATTTATACTCTCTTTCTAAAAACTAAGCATTTGATATTAATCCCAGCTTAGTCATGGTTGATTAGATTGAAGATAATCTTTTTTGAATAAATTTTAATAATTTTTGATTCTATTTTAATAATTTTTGATTGAATTTTAATCTGTTTTTGTTTATACATCAGTATTGAAAAAGAATAATATTTAATACTGGAAAGATTATTTCGAATTTAATCATGCATGACTACTGCCGAAGTAATCATGGCTCGGACTCAATAAGGTGAAGCTGGAATCTGCATACTTTTTAAGCTTTTTTGATTTAATTTATCTTTGAGTGAACCATTGATTTCACAATATTGGAAAATACCACTTTCAAGTTAATGACAAAAATCGTGTCCGTTTGTTTGAATGCTGACATTGAATGCAATTGAACTTTCTTTAAAAAAAAATGAAATTTATGCGCAAAAGTTTACTTTTTTGTTATGATAAATAAACTCGTCAAAGTAATCATTGAAGTCTCAAGATGAAATGCTATCCAGATTTATCTTGATATCTATCATCGAAAATTTTCTAAGTGCAAACAGTGAACCGATATTTTTAAAATCCGTAGAATTTCTTCGGCACTTTTAAAAAATCCAAAAAAATCTGTAAAATCCTTTACGTTATGGTTGGTCGGTAGATCCGCAGTAAACATAAAAATCCATAGAACTACGGATAAACCCCTTAGAACTGACCACACTGATTGTGCCTCACGAAATCAATTTCTCAAAGTGTCATGTTATTTTGATGACGAACGATTTGTGATTTCCTTCTCACAGACTTCAGAATAGAGTACCTGGCACTGAAAAAGTTGTCGGTTCTCTTATTCATGTATTTAGATTGACATCCGAAGTCCCTCCTTTTAAGCATACTCGACACAAGCCCCACCCCTAACTGGATTTCACGCTTTTTCTCTGATTTTGTAATCTGCGAAAGGGATTGCTACGTTTTTTGACTTCACTGGCCTCTTTTAACCAGGCTTCCGGAAATCTCACGCGTACACAAATGCGACAGCGAGCTGTGAGACGGAGCGTCGCATGACTCTCAAATCCATGGTGTGCTACATTATTGTACAAAAGAGAGACCCGAACGATGCGCGCGACAAGCTACACGCTCTCAACAAATTCGAGCGTTTCAATTTTTGTTTGTCTCATCGCATTGCTCTCTCAATGCGACGCATGTATTCAATCACATGTGACTGTTTCATTGAAACATCTCAATGCGCTCTCTCAGGGCGCCATCGCCGTGCGCTGTTTCGCATGCTTTGACTCTCGCGGTCCCATCATAAGTGATGTTGTCGGGTGACGAGATAAGAGACTGCAAGGGTTTGTTCACAGAAGACTTGTGGCCCTTTGCACTTGTTGATTTTGAAATGGGGTAAAGTTTTTAGATGGTTCCAGAAATATCTCCTAGTATAGATTCAAGCAGACTCAACTCATGGTTCCAGAGATATACTGGAATCACCGTAAGATCACCACTAGGGAGACGCAATTGCTTGTCGAAAGGATGCTAAAGGAAGATAAAGGAAGGCTACGTGAGCGGTGGATGGCAACCTTACGGTAGTTGGGATACCGTTAGCATGTTAGCACCCAAATAATACCGGAATATCTGTGGAACTATGTGTCCTTCAACAAGTCCTTATGCGGAAATCTTCTAAAATACATTTTTTGGAAGCCTCTGAAGCTTTCAGCCCATTTGGTGGAAAAATAAACAAGTTATTGCGCATTTGCACCAAATTAAACTCAGAATCCCTCAGAATACTTTTACTCAGACCAGTAAAAATATAAATGGACGATTTTGAATGTAAAACAGCACTATACTATACAAGATCATATGGTCGGCCTTAAGTCAGAAGGGACTAAGTAGCAAAATAAAAACAAAAAATGAGTTAATGATATCATAAGATCAAGAATTCCCTCAGCTACATTTCAATTTTTCAGCCAGATTTGAAAACTTAGAGTAGCACGAGAAAACGGTCAAATGATTTTTCCCATTACATAAGACACAATATTAAACAGCCAACATTAAATTCGTTTTTCTCAAAATCAAATAAAAAATTCACATTTCGGTCTGACTTGACGGATCATATCAACACGCTAGTAATGATAGAACTCTGAAGATTAATATTTTTATTTGTCTGGCTTGAGTGAACACTATTTTAAGGGATTATTTTCAACGCAGAAGTGTACTTTGCTGCAAAAACGTTGGTGGTGACTTCTCATTGCATACACACAAGTCTGTACTTAAAAATTAACCAAGTTTGTCCGATCAGCTATGCACACATTTTATTTTTATTGTCACCTTCCAGCAAGTGCTTCAAAAAATTTGGTATTTCTTACACGTGAAATTCAACATATTTGTAGTTTTGCGTCAAAATTTTAGCCCAATTGATCATAAAAGAACACATTTATAACATGTTAAACTTGGCTGGTTTGTATAAAAACGACCTTTGTCCGATCAACTTACGTACACACTTAATCACGGTTTCCTTGTTCGGTAATTTTTTTTTACAGTTTTCGAACTGTAAATCACAAAAACTACCGAACATTCAGCTGTTCTCAATAAAATTACTGACGTTCATTAGTTTTTGCAAGAAACTACTGAATGCGGCAATAGTAATCACTGAATTGACTGTTAAATAACAGTTTTACGGGAAATGACTAAAACTCAGTAAAATAGAACACCGAGTTTTCAGTACTGATTATGTTTTACTGAAACAATCATCAAACGAAATTCCAAAATTACTGATCACGCTTGTAAATTGGACTCCTTTACGTCATTCTCCTCCGTTCCATCTCGCGCACTTGATTTCATAAATTTGTGTGTGAAAACAGCAACATGTTTGTGAAAATGAGTTAAACGACTGGAAGTCAACGCAGAAGTGCAAAATCATACGAAATCGGGCAGTTTCTGCACTTCTGCATCGGCTTCCAGATGTTCCATTGAATTTGCAGCAAATTTCAATTGCGTGTAGCAGTGCTCCAGACTTACGCACGCAATTCGGCACTTCAAGAAAGCAACCAGCCGGCTGAACCACGAGGAAGTATTAAGCTGGACTATAGCTCAAGATTAGTTTAAACAGCATCATTGCTATTACGCCTCTAAACAAATAAACCTGAATCCTCTAATAAAAATCTTAAAATATCCGAAATATTTTATTTATTACTCATTGATTTTTATTCATCAAAATACTGGAAAACTCACCAAAATAATGTAAACAAATAAATTACTGAAAAAATCAGCAATTTTTTTACTGTCTAAAACGGTAAATTTTGACATTTCAGGGATCTTTCCATTTACTGAGTTTTCAGGTAAACCAAAAACTACTGAGTTGATTGCTGAAAACTCAGCTGTTTAAAAACCCAGTTAAATTTTACCGACGTCGGTAATCTAAACTCTGTGTGTAGGTACGAAATGCTGGATTAAGGTTAAAGTAATAAATTTAGGAACAATTTGTGTCATATCTGTATTACGGATTGTTGCTAAGCTTCTTGCTTCAGGAATTGTATTGAATACCTGTCAATCAACAAAACTTACTACGGCAGCAACTGAATTCTTCAGATGTGTTAGCGCTCACAGGATAGTTCATATCAGCCACCATGATGCTGAATTAAAACAATCAATTTGCGACGACAGATTTCTAAATAGTCCTAGTGTTAGTACCGTGGAACCTCGGTGAAATTAAAAAAAAAAAGCATATTAACGAGCAAATAAACCACAACTTGATTGTACATTTCGCTTACCAAAGCCACATCTCTTACTTCGTTCGTTATGAATGGGCTATTTTTCAAGTTAATCCTTTAATCAACGAAAATTGCCGCTAGGAAAACTTTGTTGGTCATAACCATCCGACACCTCTTCTCCATGTTCGATAAGAGTGTAGTAGCTAGGTCGCTTTCCATCGTTTCCAAAACAAAACAACACTTTCCCCACATCAAGAACACGAGTTGGTCTTCCAGTTGAGTTTGTTATTTCGATGTCGCAATGAAACGTCGCTTAGCGACGTCTCATTGCGAAAAGCGCATGAGCTTTGGCTCACGCGACGTCGCATGATACTCGTTCTCATGAAACGCATACATCCGGAAATGTGCTGTGCTTACAAAACAGTGCGACACACAGACATTATGAGAATGTGAGATGCGACAAAACTGAAAAGAGAGAAACAGAGTGCTACAAATCTCTTGCGCATGAGACTGCTATGATTATGAGACTATTCGTATTGCGTCTCGCATACGGTAGCGCGCGCACTGGAAGCCTGTTTAACACATAACGGACAACAGCTTTTGCGTGATTTCCGATAGATGTCGCCATGGACACAAAACATCAGTTTCCATCGATTCATTGTGATGTTCCGTATGATTCGAAAAGTTCAGAGGCCGCTCCAAATACGCGCCTTCTCATGTTTAGTTATTTGGTTCTACATCAACAGACTGGGTTTAGTCCTAATGATGGATTAAGCAATACTAGGATGGTCAAGAAG